TCTGCTAGAGACTACGAGCACGGCTCCATTCTTCAGTCCTAGTCCAAATAATATAGACAACATCTTTCCCATTCGAAATTTGGACAGCAAATTTAATGAAGAGTTTCCATTTAGAGACACTTGGCTGTCTAACCAGAAGGTCTAACCATTTTTAACGATTTTAAAAGAGATATTGTTTTTTTCTCAGAAGGACTGAATAAGTTTACTTATTATGTAGAGTGTTTTTCAAGCGGTGGTAATCACTATTAGGGAAGCTTTAGGTTGTGTCTAAGTGGATAATATATTTGATAGGAATATATACACACAATTAGGCGGTTAAACTGCTTTAAAAGTCTTGAGTATACTACGGTTATTGATTATCACACAGTTAACTTAATCGGCAATTGCAACTTAATCGGTCTGACGAGACGGGGTGCTTGAGGAACGAACATTTGTTTAATTCTTTCTCTGCTGCCCAGTTTAATAATATATGGGAAAATTCAAAAATATGTTGGCTTATCGAAAATATTTGTTGAAGATCAGTATGAGCGTTCTATATAAAAGAAATTTAGAACTCTCATTGACATGCCCCGTAAAGATATCAGTGTTATGGTTAACTAAGTTTGAAGACTGAATCTCCCTTTAAACAATTCCTGTCGCAGCTGTGGAAACGCTGAAAGTGCCTCACATCTGCTTCTATATGTGCGCCGGTAAGCTATTTAGGGGCCAACTTTTCTGACGATCTAGAAAGCATTGTAAGTTTTGCTAAAAATTCAAGTTGGTTTTTGAACGTTTGACTTTCTTATACGGTAACATGATGGGTCAACACCTCTAAGTGGATCTTTTGGATTGCCGCTATAGCGTAGACTAAAATTATACGTATTTGATGATGAAGTTGTATTTTAATTCTCGAAGTCATCATTACTACATAGCTTTGAGTATATTAACCATTATGTGTAATATGTATATATATGTATACATATATGTGTATATATATGTACGTGTATATATAAAAAGTATATATGCAGAAGTTTATATTACATTCTATTTTGTTGATATCTATGCGACGATCTCAAAAAACTCTTTTTGGCATAAATATCTCAATATAATAATATAAAATATTCTTATATATCTTAAAATATTCTTATGAAATATATATGTATTTTTAGAAACTAATGCCGAATATATATATATTTTTATTCGTAGACTATAACAATTAAGATACCATAATTTATTAGTTAGTTATTCACGAAACACTTGAACTTGTGTTAGAACTTCCTTCGAGAAACTCTGAGCTAGAATAATGTAATTGTGGTAATAAAATTGATACTACTTTATAACGATCCTCTGCTCACGATACCTCTAGCACTACTACATTCGTACTAGCTACAAAGACAATATCAAATCAGTTTGAAGATGACATCACATTGTACTGTCAAATTAAGTATTTTTAAGTATATTCATTAACAAAAACAAGCACATAACCCAATGTCAATGCACCCCAAAGTTAAAGAAAATCGTTGAGTTTGATATATGAAATAAGATGGCACAGGTGTTTCTCTTTATAGGAAAATAGGAAAGGTTAGCAATTAAAATGAAACACATTCGGCACGAAAAAGTTTATATTTTATGTAAGAATAAATTTCACGTTCGAAACAGGATGGCTCTTTTGTCAAATGAAACAAGGATAATTGCATTAAAGCTATATGGTTCTGGTTCTATACCAGAATCCCCATTCCGCGTTACTGAAATAACAAAAATGGTTAGTAAAAATTTATACAAAAGGATGCGCTTATTGTTAAAATTAATTGAAGTAAACTTTTTATTCCACACTTGAATTGGAATATTTAAATTCTGTGCGAGATTTTAATTAATTTATGCAAATATTTTTTCACGAAAAGCATTTTCTCAATTGTAACAATTTTGCCATACAATTTCCTTAACAAAGGAGTCAACAGCGAAATGCTTTTGTTTTGCAACAAATTAATTTATATCCTGTAGCTTATTTTTTTAACTACAACGTTTTTCAGCGATTTTCCTTTTTAATTATGCGCACATGGTTCTTAGTAAATTCAAATACAAAATAAAAAATACAAAATACAAAATACAAAATACGAAATACAAAAATACGAAAATATCGCTTTATGGCTCTTAAGATTCCATATAGTTTTGGCTGTTAGCTACGCGCCAATGCACATCCGTTTTAAATCCTTTTCCCGACAAATGCAATGGCAATGTTGGCAACTGCCAAAAATGAGTGCTGGTTGCTGTCTGCTGCCTGCTTGCCTCTTGCTGCTTTCTCGTTGGTGGATGCCTGACTGCTGAATACTGAATACTGTATACTGAGTGCTGTAATCGTTAATCACGAACAACATGTGTCAAGATGCACAGTTTCAACTTGGCAAGTTGTTGAACTTGTATTTTGTATGTAGCTTTGTGGGTCGGTTAGTACATATTTGCGTGTCTTTGTAGGACTTCAGTTACATACTCGAAATGCTAGTAACATTGCACATGTGCTACTCAAGCGAAGTACAGGATACTGTATCCGTACTTGCCACTAGGAGCTATACTCCACAAACGGCATAAACAGTCATTACTCTAACTAAAACTGCTAAAACTTTAACCGTAGCATTTAGTCTATGGCTTAGGTTTTTTTTGGGGGGGAAGGGGATATTGGTGGGGTACATTTATCTGCGACCAAAAAACACAGCTGCATTATATATATTTGTATTTATTTCAAGCAAATTAACATCAGGCTCTGAGTCAACCCTCAGCATTTTAATTATACAGCACATCATCGCATTTTATACAAGTATTTCATTTGTATAACGTAAATGTTGCAGAATAAGAAACAAAAGTGAAAACACATTTTTGCAACTAAGAAAATTAACAACAACAAATTTGTTGCATTTAAAAAAATACCAAAAAAAAAGAATGGAAAACAAATAAATCTGCAACAAAACAAAACAAATTTTTACTAGTTCAGTTGTTTTGCGGAAATTGTTCAGAAATTTTTTCTAATTTGCAAGAATTCTACGGCCAACAGTGCGTATGAGTGATTTAAATATGTACGACTGTTGCTGTTGGTGCTGCAGCTACAATTGCTGCCTCTGTTGCTGTTGCTTTTGGCGCTTTCAGTGTTGGTGTTGGTATTGGTGTTTCTGGAACTTGTGTTCAAGTGTTAAAGTGCAACTCTTAACTGCATGTCGAATGTCCGTCCATCCGTCCGTCCCTTTTGATGTTTCTTGTGTAATTTATGTTTAACTTTTCCCTAACAAATGAAATTTTTAGTGCTGCTTTTCGTTTCTGCATTTTGACTGAAATTTTTTGATTGTTGCGGGATGCAATGATACTTTTACAGTTTTACAGCTTGTATACTTAAGCATTTCAAAATCTTAATGAAATTTTTTGAGTGTAGAACAAGCTCATTAAAGTTTATAAGATAAATGATTCAAATGCATTGTGGGGTGAATTCAGTTTTTATTGCCATCGGAAATGGAGTAAAATTTATAAATATTGCCATTAAAAATGTATTTAAGACTATGAGTAAAATTTAAATATATTATTACCACATCCACATCTGATTTATTATGGTTAAAATAAAGTTTTTAATTGAAATGATATATACTTTTACAAAGAAGGAATATGAAAGAGGAATAGAAGCGGTTATAGCCAAATTCTATACTCGAAAAAGCTGTATGGTCAGCCAAAAAAATAATTAATTAAAATAATATAAAAATTTTCGTTGTTGTAGTTCACTACTTTTCGAAATCTCTTTAATAAATCTTTATTCAATCTGAAAGATGAGTTTAAAGGATTATATCAGTTATCAGTGGTTATCAGGATTATCAGTGGTTATCAGGATTATCAGTGGTTATCAGGATTATCAGTGGTAATTGACTTAGATTTAATTAAGTGAATATTTGACTGAGTCAATTACTGTTTTGAATACCATCAAATATTCTTCGTAAGTGTTCTTTTTGACTGCTGGTGATGGATATACAGGGCTGGATATATTAGGTGCACCAACTTATTTAACAAAAACAATATGAAGAGACATACGCATTTCTTCCTTATCAAGTTAAAAATCATTTGACTTATTTTAAAGAGATTTTATCACGTCATAGAATTTTATCGCTCTAGCGACCCACTCTTAAATGTAGTCTTAGCAGCATTCTATATTATGTTGATATATGTATATATAATATTCAAACTAAAACAAAAATATGCCATTCACTTTTTGAAACAAATAAAAACTTTTAAATATTTTTATATTTATTATTAAATTATTATTAATATTTTTTTCGTTTTCATATAAATTTTATAATAATTCAGTTCAACCTTAAAATAAATGTTCCGCTTGATTTACCATTACAATTTCTTTAATGAAATATATCTACATATTAATACATTATAAGCTTATAACATTGTAGGTACAATTAGAAGTCTATATATATTCCGTAACGATAAAAATGCTAGAATATAGCATTTAATTGCGAAAATGCAGCACTTTTAGTAAAATGTACATGGTGAAATTGTATTATTTTTTATTTAAGCACATGCACGTGTCAATATAGTTTCTAAAATTTTCGTTTATATTAATTTATTAAATAAAATCGATGATTTATATCCAAAAAAAAAATATTTCAATTTTAATTAAATTATTTCTGCGCTATATTTCAGAATCGAACTAAGTGAATTAGCTCAACTCTTATCTGATTTTAACTAGAGATTGATTTTATTTATATTTCATTTATATGATTTATATTTTATTTTATTTATTTATATGTAGTTATAGTATCGATGGTGGTAATCACCGTATTTTTCGCTCTTTGCATTGTTATTTGGAAAACCATTTTCCAAAAAGCAAATGCGATTTTAGTTACTAATAATTTTGGAATAGTGAAACCTGTGGTACCAGTTTGCAAGATGGTGATCACATAAGTTAATAATTACATGTTTTTCATTTAATAATTTTACTTTTATAACAATAAGTAATCTTTTAAAATGGTTAGTAAGTTTGTAACTACAGCGTAGTGAAGATATTTCGGAACTATGTTGCTAAAATCAACTTGGTGTGCCTTTGTAATGCAAAATTTCGTTTAGATAATATTTATTATTTCGTTTAGATAATATTTATATTTATTCATTTTTAATTAAAGATTTTACGACTTGCATTCTTCTCAGTTGTGGTGAAGCTTAGCAGACAACACCCACAGAACGCTGCGACATCTCAAGCTCAACTTGAAACTGATAAACATTTATATGAATTAAAGTGAGTTGTAAATTTTTTTTTCGTTGTTTGATATAATAAATGATATAACATCCTTTAAGTATTGAACTGCCAGATAAGAGCTTTCGAAATGAAACTGCAAGTTTGCAGATATCTGATAATTCCAAAGATCTATCTGTTACTGGATTGATAGGAATAAATTTTATAAAGACGAACACAATAGGTAAATGGGCTTACATTGCGGATAAGAATGGATTTGTCGTTCGTTATATTTATAAACAGTTAAAGGCTACTCAACAAGATCCTAGCTATTCTTCAACAACATATCGCCCAACTCCACCACAATATTTACCAGCACCACCACCACCAAAGTCTTTAAGTCCGAATGCTTTAAAAAGTGCTGGTGGTTAAAGATGTAGGGCAGTGATATAACATAGTTAACATGAATTTATTTAAGCAACTCTTATCTGTATCTTGTTCTAGGAGCTCGAGAAAGGCACAAAGATCTTGATATATTTTCGTAAAATTAATTTAAGTTAAAATTTATTAATGCAGTATATATAAAATAACAATAAATACTTACAGTATATACAATAAAATATAAAAGAATATTTAATTAGTTTCACAATAAAACATTTAATCTCAACAATAGCAGACATACTTCCGAGATGCAGGCGCTTATTTCTCCTTAATTAAATAAATTTAAATAATTTCTATAAATTTTCTTGATTATAAGTAACCAATTCATTTAAAATATTAATTGCATTCTTAAAAACAACTATATGTTAGTATTTCAGTATTGTGCATTAAAAAACCAGTCATTGTCTAGCATTTTTACGTTTTCAAGTTTAAATCTTTATGAATTAACTGGGATGTGGTCAATGCAATTGACATTTAAAATATTTTTCACAGTCTTTTCTCTAAGCGCACAGTACGCAGAAGATTCTTTCTATACCCATGTGAGACCAGGTCGTCTTTAGGTGAACAGGTTTTTTAAAATAAAATTTATTTAAAATCAAATAATTGCGATTTAAACAAACATAATTTCTTACAAGAAAAAACTATGGCTTGAAGTCTTCAGTAGTTTTCTAATCATTACGTAGTGAAGACATACAAAGATCATGGTTCTGAAATTTGCTGGGTGTGCTTTAGTAATGCAAAATTTATTCTGTTACTCCTATACTTACTTTTTTTTACTTAAAGATTCTACAAGTTGCACTTTTCTTCTTTCTTTCGGTAAAGTTTAATAGACAAAACCCACAGAGGAGTACTAGGAGTATAGTACCTAAAGTTCAATTTATTATCTAATAAAAATGAATTTTATTGCGAAGTCTTTATTTGTAATTTTGAATAATGATATATGTTTTCAGTTACCTAATAGTTCCAAAGAAGATTTATCTATTACTGGATTCATTCAAATAAATTTTATAAAAACGAATGCAATGGCAAACTGGACTTATACTGCGGATAAGAATGGATTTTTAGTTCGTTATATCTACAAGCAGTTGAAACACACTGAACAGCTTTTAAGCAATACTCCTCCAACTAGGCGACGTATTATAGGTTCAAGACCATGTTCAGGAACATACTCATCATTCACTTCGACGTTACGATGTGCCACAACTTTAAGCGCGGAAGCTCTAAAAACTGCTGCTGGTTAAGAATATAAAATATTGATGCATTTAAGCTCCGGAATAATTTTTAAAAATTTTTAATAATTTATTTTATATTGAAATTTTTAAGCACAACATAATGAATTAAAAATAATATAAAAAAAAATATTTTAATAATCTTAACATTAATCACAATTTTCATTCTAATCTCTATAAATCTAAAGACATGATAAAATCCAACTATATTAAAAATTAAATATCAAAACAATATAATTTAAAATACTTGAACTATAATAAATACAAAAATATTTCAAATAGATCTACCAAAGTATAGTTGTAATACGTCGCCTAGTTGGAGGAGTATTGCTTAACAGATGTTCAGTGTGTTTCAACTGCTTGTAGATATAATGAAGGCATAATCCATTATTATTCATATGTGTGAACCCAGTAATAGATAAAGCTTCTTTGGAACTAATGTGTAGATACTTGAAATTTTCCAATTTCATTCCGAAAACTATTATCACGCAGTTGTATTTCGAAACAAGCATTATTATGCATAATTCTGAATAACAACTTCATAGCAAAATTTAATTCATATAAATTTTTATTAGAATTTATTGCATTTTATCTACTAAACTTTATCAAAAGACAGAAGACAAGTGCAACTCTTAAAATCCCTATTAAGTAATAGAAGTTAGAGTAAGAAGACTAGAATAAAGTTCACATAACTAAAGCTCAACAAACAACCATGAAATTCGAAAACCATGATCTCCAAATGTCATCAAAACGAAATGATTAGGAATCTACTGAACATCTTAATTGATCATTTTTAATTCACAAAAAATTAAGTTTGCTTAAATCTCAATTATTTGATTTTAAATAAATTTTATTTTAAAAAACCTGTTCACCTAAAGACGACCTAGTCTCACATGGATATAGAAAGAATCTTCTGCGTACTGTGCGCTTAGAGAAAAGACTGTGAAAAATATTTTAAATGCCAATTGCATTGACCACATCCAAGTTAATTCATAAAGATTTAAACTTGAAAACGTAAAAATACTAGACAATGACTGGTTTTTTAATGCACAATACTGAAATACTAACATATAGTTGTTTTTAAGAATGCAATTAATATTTTAAATGAATTGGTTACTTATAATCAAGATAATTTATAGAAATTATTTAAATTTATTTAATTGAGGCGCGTGCATCTCGGAAGTATGTCTGCTATTGTTGAGATTAAATATTTAATTCTAAAACAAATTAAATATTCTCTTATATTTTAATGTATATAGCAAATATTTATTGTGAATAATGATATATATACTACATTAATAAATTTTATCTTAAATTGATTTTACGAAAATCTATCAAGATCTTTGTGACTTCCTCGAGCTCCTAAAACAAGATACAGATAAGAGTTGCTTAACTTAAAGTGATGTTAACTATGTTATATCACTGCCCTACATCCTTAACCGCCAGCACTTTTTAAAGCAGTCGGACTTAAAGACTGTGGTGGTGGTGGAGGTAAATATGGTGGTGGAGTTGGGCGATAGGTTGCTGAAGAATATTTATAACGAACGGCAAATCCATTCTTATCCGCAAGGTAAGCCCAATTTCCTATTGTGTTCGCCTTTATAAAATTTATTTTTAGGAATCCAGTGACAGATAAATCTTTGGAATTATCAGATATCTGTAAACTTGCAATTTCATGTCGAAAGCTCTTATCTGGCAATTCAATGCTTAAAGGATGTAATATCATTTATTATATAAAACAACGAAAAAAATTCACAACTCACTTTAATTCATATAAATGTTTATCAGTTTCAAGTTGAGCTTGAGATGTCGCAGCGTTCTGTGGGTGTTGTCTGCTAATCTTCACCACAACTGAGAAGAGTCCAAGTCGTAAAACCTTTAATTAAAAATTAATAAATATGGATATTATCTAAAAGAAATGAGTTTGCATTACAAAAGCACACCAAATAAATTTTTCCGAAATATCTTCACTACGCTGTAGTTATAAAGCTACTTACCATGAAGGTATTATTTTATTTAAATTTACAGTTAAAGTTTCAAAGGTGGTAATCGTTGTATTTTTCGCTCTTTGCATTGTCAACTGGGAAACGACTTCTTCAAAAAGCAAATGCGTTTTTAGTTAATAATAATTTTGGGATAGTAAAACTTGTGGTACCAGTTTGCAAGGTGGTAATTACATAAGTTATATTTACATTATAATTATTTAAAAATTTTATTTTTATAAGAATAAATTATCTTCAAAAATGTTTAGTAATTTTGCCACTACCGTGTAGTGAAGACATTTCAAAATCATGATTCTAAAATTTACTTGGTGTGCTTTTGTAATGCAAACTCGTTTCTTTTAGATAATATTTATATTTATTTATTTTTAATTAAAGATTTTACGAGTTACACTCTTCTTAGCTGTAGTGAAAATTAGCAGACAGCACCCACAGAACGGTGCAACATCTCAAGCTCAACTTGAAACTGACAAAAATTTATATGAATTAAAGTGAGTTGTGAATTTTTTTTTTCGTTTTTTGTTACAATAAATAATGACTACGTTTTTCAGTATAAAATTACCAGATAATGGCTTTAGAAATGAAATTGCAAAATTTCAGACATCTGAAAGTTCCAAAGATGATCTATCTGTTACTGGATTCATAGATATAAATTTCATAATATCGAATGCAATCGCGAACTGGTCTTATACTGCCGATAAGAATGGATTTTTAGCTCGTTATATCTACAAGCAGTTAAAGGATACTCAAAAATATCCTAGCTATACTTCAACAACCTTTATTCCAACTACACCATCAACAACTTACACCACGCCAACATATCCGACAACCAGAACACCAGCAACATATAGACCCCCAACACAGTCTTTAAGTCCGAATGCTTTAAAAAGTTCTGGCGGTTAACATAGTGAACATAGGTAACATAGTTCACATGAATTTAAGTCAAGTAACTTCTATTTTTATCTAATCTTTTGGGGACTTAAGGAGGATATAAGGATTTTTGATATTTTGGTAGTAACAATTTAAATTGAACTTTAATAAATGTAGTATGTATAGCATTATTTACAATACAATATTTACACTATATGCAATACAATAAAATACAATATTTAATCAGTTTCCATATCGTATCAATGTTAATATTAGATTTTACATATAATAATAAAATATAAAAAAAAATTGTGAAAAATCAATAAGAGGTAATGTTTTTATAGAAACTAATAAAAATAGGTCTTGTTTTGTTCTCGCACTACTTGTGGTTTATAAATATTTGTAACACCAATTGACCATAGGAGGCTCATTTTTTGCAGAGATGAGAAACAGGTTAGGTTTTACCAAAATTAAAGACATGACCTAAATTTACAAGCTCGGACAGCCTAGCACATCTAAATAATTGTGGTGCCTTTTTATAAATCAAATGACCGTAATGATGTAATAGAAGTGTCGTATTTAGGTGGATGGTGTTCAATGAAGAAATTCCGCCATTGAAATTATAGATAATAAAAACTATATAGTTCAGACATATTTTTGAGTGTATATTTGAGTATTAAAATTAACTAGAAATTTTAATAATAATACTTAAAAGAATTGGAGAAGCAAGTCAACTTTCAAAGATAATTAGAAAAAAGAAATGTTAGAAGAGTTAGTTTAGTTTTAAAGTAAAAAGTTTATAGCTTGAATTTTTACATTTGTATATTTATAAACATATATCTATAATATATAAGTATATATAAGTTAAGTATATATAAGTTATATATATATAAGAATTTATATATAACTTTATACTTTATACCCCTTTTCCTTTTCGCACTGTTATTATAATAATTTAATTAATTGTTTATGTAGTTCATTCAAAAATGGTCCCACTATATGTACCTATCTTCACTCTCTGATCAATCTTTTCACTGCTATTATAATTCATTAAGGTAACTAAAAAATATGTAAAATTCTACAAAATGTAACCCATCCCCTTCCTTTATTATAATTTATTTAGTGAATTGTTGTGAAAAACAATGACTAATAGTATTTTGTAATACTATTATTCCGATAAACCATTGGTACAAAACATGCGATCATGCGACTGATAGAAGTACCTGGTGATTGCATGGGCTTTTTCCGTTCATTTTAGGTAAAAAAAATACGTAATTTTCAACAAGATCACTAAACAGAACTAGTGTGTAAGTTCACTGTCAGAACAAGATCACTAAACAGAACTTGTGTGTGTGTTCATTGTCAGGTGAGCAAAATGACATACATGACAAATTAATGCGTAGCGTACTTTCACTGGCGCCATCTTCTAATTTAATCGGAAAAAATTTATGTATGCACCTGTTACGTAGTATATGTTCAGGTCGCTTGTTTTTTCCTATCCGTATCGTAGGTGATGATGATGAAGACTCTGAAGCAATGCATAATTCATAGTCCGGTAAATAAAATTAATTTAATTTGGAAAAAAAAGTACTAAATGAAAAATCAAATAAACGTTTTTGATTTATAAGCGCATTATGCGCGTAAGTGAATTTATTTAATAACTTTTTGTGTTTCAAAAAGTTTTTAAAAAAATATTTTTAGCCTAATAGGCAAAATATTTTTCGCTCGAAAATGCACAAATATTTCCCTTTTAAATTTAAATTTGATAAATGGAATCAAAAGCCACTTACTTGCGCAAATGTGCGGTGCCACGGACCAGACCAGGTGTGCAACAATTGACCGTAACGTTGCTTTCTGGAAAAAAAATATGGAATGAAATTAAAGAGGCAACAAACAGAAATGAAACAGGACATAAAATTAAAAAAAGTACAAAATTCAAAAAAAAAAAATAGAAAAAAACCAAAACCAATTTAAATCAGTTTAACAAAACAATTTAAAGAACGCAAGAACATAAAAAAGAGCACAGGAAAAGGACATCGGAAACAAGGTAAATTAAATAAAAATTTTGTTAAACCATAAAAACACGTACAGGCAACAAACGCCAAATGTCAGAGACGCAGGCTGGCAGGCCCAGAATAGTGTTTGTAGTGTACCAAGTTTAACAAAGTTCACATTACATTTTTTATTTTTATTTTCTTTTTACTTTTCATTTTATTTGTTATTTTATTATTTTTTTGCAGATTGGAAACATTTTTCTCTCTGCTATTCTGCCATTCACATCACACAACATCACACAGGCACACAACATTACACAAGAGTTAGTCCTATAGGCCATATGTGCCTATAGCCTATATAAAACCTATTCCAACAAAATGTCCATTGTTGCTTACCTTTCAGTTCTCGCGCCAACCAGCGTGTTGCCAACACAACACACAATTTGGAATGGGAGAAGGCATCGCGTGCATGAAACTTAACAGCCCATGTGCCCACATTCAGTGGATCATCAAACTCGATTTTGGCTGCAGCATGAGCATGGGCGGAAGTATTTATAATGCGTCCATTCTCAGAACGACGCAAATGTGGCAATAACAATTGTGTCAGCAAAAAATGCGCCAAATAATTCACCTGCAAATGCAATTCAAAGCCATCCACAGTTGTGTTTGTAGGTTGAAAAATCACGCCCGCATTATTTACCAACACGTCAATGCGCTCGAATTCGCTCATGATATTCCGTGCGAAACGATGCACATTGTCAAAGGAGCACAAATCGAGGTAACGTGCTTCCACGTAGAAGACTCTACCAGCCGCGGCACGACAGCCCAATTCTCGTTTTATGATAGCAGCTGCACGTTCCGCTGCCGGCATATTCCGACAGGCCAAAATAATGCGTCCACCACGTGTAGCTAATGCCTTCGCTATCTCGAAACCAATGCCGCTGTTACCGCCTGTAATGATGACAATTTGTTCCTTGATTTGATTATCGTTAGGACAACGTTGACCGCTCATTATGGTGCTGCAATAAGCAAAAAAACAAAAAAAAACAAAAAAGGAAAAGATGATATTTTAATAGAAATACGAAATACAAAATATTACAAAAAAATTGACATAAAATACACAAAATAATAACAAATTATATGCTGGCAATGCTGACATTGCTGACAATGCTGGCACTGCTGGTAATGCGTCCTTTGCTCTATGCTCTATGCGTTGTTGATGCTGTAGATCCAGAGTGTTTCGTTGCCACAGGCGTTGCTACAACAAATTGTTGTTTTGATTAAAGCACAAATTGCTAATTCACTTGGACATTGTCGATACTGCTCGCAAGCACTTGTGCGAAAATGATAATTATGCCATGTTACCGCTGAACTCTACCGGCATGCGGGTAAGTCGCCAAAAGTGCTAGAGGCCTGGTACTTTAATTGAAAACAGTTTAGTCGAGTGTGGGCCACTGCGTGGCCTGTTATATTGTTTATCCACGTGCTGCGTACACAAACACATTTAATTGTTGCTTATTTATGGCTTTTAATTGGGTGTACAGTACAGTACGGGGGAAAATTTTAGAATTATTTCACAACAATTCAAATTTACATAGCGAAGCGACGCGATTTTTACCACAGCACCGCAAATGTAAGCGGTTTTCAACTGGCACCAAAATTAAATCTCGCACAAAAGAGATTTATTGCTGATCCAATTAAATGCTGCGACAACCAGAAAACATGAAAAACGAAAGCAGGAAAAGCTGCAAGCAGGAAGCCAACACATATCCAGGAGTGTATTTATGTTCCTACACATGTACTAAATATAGGTTTATGCCTTTTATATTTAAATTGCACAATTTCGACTATACTCGCATTATTTTGAATTAATGCGCTCTCATATATGAGTTCATACACATATTTTTCATTTTCTGCTATTTTATCAAAAAATTCATGTTTGGGTATTTTATCTAAATTTTTATGAATTGGTTAATTAAACATTAAAATGGGAAGCACCTGAACAAACAAGAGTCCTTGAGAATAAAAAAAAACAACATTTGAATAATTGCGCCTAAATGTAGACTAAATTATAAATTGGCTGAAGAGGAACGTATTTAAACTGCAATTATATACTTCCAATTAAATTAACTCAATTGAATACAATTTGTTTGCTTTTTATTTACGTATTTAAATTGTCTTTATCTGCAAAATTGAGTCAAAAATTTAAACAGCATTTATATAAATAATTAATCTTAGCAGCGATAAAAGTTGAAAGACACCGTTAATAGCTTGGTAATTTAGGTAATCCTCAAGCCATAGTAGACTGATTTATACATTTAACTATAATGAGATCTCTCTTCTCAAAAAAATAGTTCTAAAATTGTTGACTGATATCTCAACAAGATTAGTCTCTCAAAAGTAATTAAATGTCGTCTCTATCTAGAAATAAATGAAACTTTCAAACACATTCATTGTGTTTAACAGGCTTCCATCGTGGTCAGCAGAACAATATTGGAGTTAAAGCTTCCGAACATGTTGGATAACAACATCTCCTCAATATGAAAAAGTCTGCTTTCTAGTTCATCCTTTTAACTATAACAAGACGTCTCATCTGAATAAAACAACAAGTTTGGTCTCTAGAATGTAATGAAATGCTATCTCAGCCTAAAAGTAGATAAGACTTCAAGTCTCATATATCGTGACTATCAAGCTTAGATCACAATCAGAAGAAGAATACTGAAGTGTAAACTTCTGTATATGTTGAATAATAAGAACTCGTCATTATAAAGTACTCTACTTCTCATGAAATACAGTTTATTCCTTGTTTAATTTGAGTTAATCAAAACACAAAAGAATTGCTCTGTTTGCGGCGTTCTGTTCCATTAGGAACCGATATCACTGTTATTATTATATGTTATTATATTCTATGGTTGTAGGACTTAAAAAATGTTAAACAGAAATTACTTTAGCAGTAATTTAATTTTCGGTTTGTACAATAGTACAATAGTGTTCATTACGTCAATTTCATTTTTCAGAGTGACGTAATTTTGTGATATAATAGTTATTTGTCATGATTGCAACGTTCTGATCTATTGAAACCGTATATAATATATATATTTTTTATAATATATAAAAATGGATTATCTCTAATTTTTATTTTGTAGGTAACTTTAATTTCTGTACCTTATTCTGGAACCTTGGAGTTCCTCAAATCGAAAATCTGGAGTATATATACTGTTCACTATTATAATAGCAAGCCAATTTAAAATGAATTGGTTTCTGTATAACTGAAGACTAGATTTAGAGTAAGCCTATGCATTCGACTAACACTCCTACGCATGTAATGAAGTTTATCGATTTCAATGACTCCAACTCATAAAGAGTTAGGTGTACCTTTGAGTTCCTCAAATCGAAAGTCTGGAGTATATGTACCATTCACCAATGTCACCGGGCCGTGTATTATTATAGCAAGCCAATTTAAATTTGGTTAATATCCATATAATGCAAACTGAAGACTAGACTATGACTATATCCAAACATTTTTCAAGTCTATGTGTTCGATATCTTTATGTAGTTAAGTGTATAGTTAGTGTATAAGTGTATCGTTTTGTTATTACTCGGCATTAACCGAATGGGTTTGTTTATTTTAATCCATATAGTAAAAAATTTTTTAAAGTCATTTAAAAATTATTTGCAGATATTTATTATTTGGATTGTAAACAAAATTTTAAACTAAACTTAGTTGCTGAAGTATTTCGAAGTGGTACTACTATATAACGCAATTACCTCAAATACCACACATGAAAGTAGTTAAAGGAGTTAGATGCACTTTATAAGAAATTACTAAAACTACTTTGAACTTAATTCATTGTAATTATTACACAAAGTTGGCCCTTTTAGGCACACAATATGCTCCGCACTGTATATTTCGCGAAAGCCTGCCTGTAAAATATTCTTGGCTAAGAAAATAAAATAAAATTAAATTTGGTACTCATGCAAATTTACGTATAGTATGAAAGAAAATTCTTTTTTTTAAATATGCTTTTTATGCTGATATCGTTTATATAATTTGATTTTAAACTGTTAATTATATATGATTACTGTTAAAAACACCAGTAATTGATATTTTGATTTATACCAGTAATTGATACTGGTTAACTAGCGGATGTTTTTTCACCATAACCCTTTATATATTTAATTATATTTTTCACAGTAATTTTAAAAATGAAGTCACTACCAGAACACACATATGTTTCTCTTCATTATATCTACATATGTATATGTAGATATAATTTTTGAAGCAATGTATTATATTTTTGTGACCAATTATTTAAATTTATGACCGGAAGTAATGTGCGTTTATATCTAGTTTTTTTTTAGCTCAAGAATAAAATAAATTTTATATGGAAAAAATTCTGTGCACTTTTGCACAAAGTGCTTCTCCTTTTCAAAGGAGAAGTACGCATAGAAAAACTTTAATAATGCATGAAAAATAATATTTTTCCAACTTTTGCTCACACTTATCCCAAAAAAATTTTTTCCATAAAAAAGTTTTATAAATATTGCTCGGAACATTTGCTCCTCTCGGACGTCTTAATACACATCAAGACGGAACGGAACAATCTATTTTAGTCGAGTAAGTTTTGAACAAGTTCACTTCATGTACTTCACGCTAATAAAATAACATTTGCATGACAAAATAAACAAAATATACATAATAAAATAAAAAGAGAAGTTTATAATAAAAAGTGAACTGGAATAAATGTTAAAAAGCGAACGAATTTTTACACACCGCACCATAATCAGTAAGCCCACGACTGCAGCGGCAATGGTTGGCCACCAGGTTTTGAATGGATCCGCATTCTCAAATATTGACATAAGGCTTTCCATTTTGGCGAGAAATTGCAAAATTCGGTATAAATTTTTATGTCATCAAAAAAAAAAAAAGAAAAAACACGGAAAAATATTGAAGTTTCGCAATTTGCCGGGTACTGGGGAAAAGTCAATTGAAATGTAGTGAAAACCGCACTATGCACTCAAAAAAAAAATGAAAGAAAATACGAAAAAATAGCAAACCGAACGTTAACTGAAGACAGTAAAGCGAGAAAAAAAAAAGAATTGTATTGCATAAATGACGAAGTTACAAGCACTTTTCTTAATTTATTTCATTTTGATGGCAGCACACACAGATGAACGTACCGCGGCACTGCAATCCCGAACCGTGACTGAATCTGCAGCAAGCATTTCGAAATTGAATCATAATCCGCAGAGTCACCAGTAATGCGTTAGCGACACCAATGGAGGTTTGCCCGCGGCTTGCAGCTTAAGGGGCGGGCATACACCGAAATGCCAGTAAAATTTCATTGCGTTCATTTGCGTTTTTTACAATTTGTTCCCCACACTTTTTTATTGTGATTTTGGCTTTCTTTCCTTGCCATTATTATTTACGTTTTGCGTTTTATGTTTTTTATTTTTTATTTTGCTCGCTTTCACATTCTGAGTTATTTTACGGATTCCCCGGGGGTGTGGGTGCTACCATACGTATATACTACGGCGATCCAGCGCCACAACAGTTTGTGGGAAATATGTTGTGCTGACAATTGAAATTGAATGGGTTCCATGCGATATTTTCAATTTAAACGCTTGTCGTACGGCATTTAAATGAGTGCTCTACTTTCTGCCTTTCTGCAGCAGTAAAAAAAATATTGTGTAAAGGAATCACAATCTCCACGAAGGCTGTGCCCTCGTCCCGATATACACAAGTATAGTACAAATATTGAACAGCTGAGCTGTGCGGAGGCCTTGTACAAATTTAAATATTTATCAATATGTGAAGGAATATATTTTAAGTTTAAGCTATCACCTATCCTTTTGCACAGCGAAGGATATGAGATGAAGCATACAAATATGCACGAGGAGCCGCAAGAAGCATCAAGGATATAAATGGGAATAAATATAATGAATTCAATTAAATTAAATCCAATTCGTTGTTAAACCGCTTAAATACTTTTCAATTGTTAAAAAATTATATGATAAAATTCATTGCGGACAGCTCGTTAATTATTGAAAATAAAGGTCGAGAAAAATTAAAATTGACGAAGGAAAACGTTTTGTTTACGGGTTTCCAGTATCTTTTCCATTTAAAATGTGAATAGCATTTTAGGTACGATTTATATGGGGTGAGTTCCATTTGGTGTTAAAAATATTTTTACATAAAAAGGGTTCTGCTCTATTTTATAGAAGATTTTGCATGTTATTTCACAACTAATCAGGTGAAGCAAAATAAATATTTGGTTGAAAAACGGATGGATACAAAATAAATATTTTAACATATAGTTATTTTGACTTTATGGTAAAACCAAAATTCAATGTAAAAGAAAACTGGCTTTGAATTTATATTAATTTCATTACTCTTATTATTTTATTACTCTTATTATTACTATTATTATTTTATTACTTTTACTACTTCACACTTTTGTAGCCGATGAAAGAAAGTTCACACGACTCCGCAAACAAACACCACGGGAACTTTAATCTGTGACCGACTTCAACAGATGGATGTGCTACTGAGCACAGTCCATTCAAGCTCATCAAATTTTTTAAGAATCGCAAAACAAGAAAATAAATTAAAACAAAAAAATTATTACAATATGCTTGCTGAATCATATATCCATATAAACTATTGGATATTTTGTTGTGTTAAATTCAAATATATATAAAAATATACCTATAAATACTCATTATAAAAAGTATCCGAAATTATTATTCAACTATTTCAATAAATTTGTCTTTAGGACTCTGATCAACTTGAAAATTTATCCTCGAAGTGATGATTTAAGATACGGGAACTGTAAAAAGTCCCAAAAATCCATAACAGGTGAGTACAGTGAGTTTTTTACATCAATAATACTAAAAACTTTCTTAGAAGGTTGTTTATATAATCTATTTTCATATATATAATCTTGTGAAAAATATTTTAAAATGTTTATTATTTCAATTTATAGGAAGATATTCTAGCTACATAACTATCAGTATAGAGAGATATAATACATAATTTCATAATATAAATAATTCTTATTCTAAATAAAACAAAAGAATATTGAAAATAATATAATAAAGCTCAAATAAAATAATGATAGTATAAAAAGCATGGTTCTTTCAATATTGAGTAAAATGTTGCGATATTAAATATTATTAATTTCTAGGAATGTTAAGATTCTGGGTTCTTTATAAATTTTAGACAATTTTTGATTGACCGCATTGATCACTTTTTTACAGCATTGCTATATACAGGGAGCTTACTTTATCGATCAACTAAATAAATTGAAATAAATACCGGAGTACTTCACTGAATAAAACAGACATTCATCTCTCGATCTAAAGAATACACTTGTTTTCTTTCAAATCAAGTCTTACGTTCTGTACGGCATAATAACTGAAGAGAACAGTATCCTATACGGCCTACACTGCCGAAAGGATAGCATAAGCGGCTGGAGAGTTAAGATAATAATCAAAATCTTCTATTCTTATCGATTAAAATATACTTCGACTTATATTAAACATATTACACTTTTCATGATAATTATTTTGGCTTTCGTTAACAATTGTTTAGTTCGAAATGGTTTTATTTTTTCTCTATTTGTTCATTTATATTAAGTTTTATTGAAGCTGCTGAAGAGTTACAAATTTATCGACTTTTATACTGCAATGCCATCATCTTAGTAAACAAATCCAGTTTTAACTCTACCTTCAACTAAACAAATATTTCTTTAAGTTGTTCTTTTGATCTATTAAAATACTTCCCATTGCCTTCTATTATGCGTCACTGCCTCGGGATACAAATTTAAAAA